ATAAAAATAAATAAAAACATTACAGAACATCTAACATTATTAAAAACATCATCAAACAAAAGTATTTGATGATAAAAATGATATGATATGATTTGATAAAAAAAAATCTTTTGGATGTTCATCCTCATCCTACTTGCAATTATTTAACTTTCCCCAGTCTGTTTTCTTAGGACATACCATCAAAATTGCAATGACTAATTATTATCAGGTCTGAACAAGGTTTTGACCTTGTCCAGGATCCATATTTGGAAACCATGCCTCTTCTCCTTGTCTTTGCCTGACTTCACTGAGCAATCAGGCATGCAAAAGCCAGCTCCTATCTATCTGCCCAAGAGGGATTATAGCAACTAATGACAGTAGTCAGTTCTTTCCTAAATCTCTAAGGTGCTTTTCTAATAGGAGGAAATTCTTGAACCAAGTTGTGAAAGTCTCCTGGGCTTCAAAGGACTTGAACTGTGACCAACTCCCCATCAGTTCCTGGGAGTTGGCAGAGAAAGTTCATCAACCTTTCATTAATAAATCGTCAAGGAACAAATCTTTGTGGCTCTTTCTGTGACCTGCAACAAGGGAAAAGACCTACCATGATAGTGGAGTAAGGGAAGGTGACTGCCCTAAAGGGTTAGAGGGGAGTGTATAAGGAGGTGATGGAGGAGCTATGGGAATTCTCTTTATCCCAGGCAGTGCTTTCAAAAGATCCTTCCCTGTTTCCACTTCCTTAACCACAAAGAGAAGTAACAGAAGGGAGGACATGATTGGCTAAAAGCACATTTTATAACAAACCCAGGAACTATATGAACACAATTACAAAACACTTTTCACACAAATAAAGTCAGTTCTAAATAATTGGAAAAACATCAGTTGCTCATGGGTAGGCCGAGCTAATATAATAAAAATGACAATTCTATCTAAGCTAATTTACTTATTAGTGCCATACCAATCAAACTACCAAAAAATTATTTTATAGAGCTAGAAAAAATAATAAGATTCATTTGGAATAAAAAAAGGTCCAGAATATCAAGGGAACTAATGAAAAGAAATGAAGGGGAAGGTGGCCTTAATTGTATTATAAGATCTTAAATTGTATTATAAAGCATCAATCATCAAAACTGCTTGGTACTGGCTAAGAAATAGAGTGGTGGATCAGTGGAATAGGTTAAGTATGCAAGACACAGTAGTCAATGACTATAGTAATCTATTATTTGATAAACCCAAAGACCCCAGCTTCTGGGATAAGAACCCACTCTTTGAAAAAAAACTGCTGGGAAAACTGGAAAAGAGTATGGCAGAAACTAGGCATAGACCAAAATCTCACACCATATACCAAAATAAAGTCAAAATGGGTTCATGATTTAGATATAAAGGCTGATACTATAGGCAAACTGGGAGAGCAAGGAATAGTTTACCTATCAGATTATGGAGAACAGAAGAATTCATGACCAAACAGGAGATAGAGAACATTATGAAAAGCAAAATGGATAATTTTGATTATATTAAATTGAAAAGTTTTTGCACAAACAAAGCCAATGCAACCAAGATTAGAAGGAAAGTAGAAAATTGGGAAAGAATTTTTACAACCAATGTCTCTGATAAGGGCCTCATTTCTAAAATAAATAGAGAATTAAGTCAAATTTATAAGAATACAAGTCATTCCCCAATTGATAAATGGTCAAAGGATATGAACAGTCAGTTCTCAAATGAAGAAATTAAAGCCATCTATAGTCATATGAAAAAATGCTCTAAATCACTATTGATTAGAGAAATGCAAATCAAAACAACTCTGAGGTACCACATCACACCTATCAGATTGGCCAACATGACAAAACAGGAAAATGATAAGTGTTGGAGAAGATGTGGGAAAATTGGAACACTAATACATTGTTGGTGGAGTTGTGAAATTAGATCATTTTGGAGAGCAATTTGGGAACTATGCCCAAAGGGCTATAAAAATGTGCATACTCTTTGACCCAGCAATAGCACTTCTAGGGCTGTATCCCAAAGAGATCATAAAAATGGGAAAAGGACCCACATGTACAAAGATATTATAGCAGCTCTTTTTGTGGTGGCAAAGAATTGGAAATTGAGAGGATGCCCATCAATTCGGGAATGGCTGAACAAGTTGTGGTATATGGATGTAATGGAATACTATTGCGCTGTAAGAAATGATGAGCAGGATGACTTCAGAAAAACCTGGAAAGACTTGTATGGTCTGGTGCTGAGTGAAATGAGCAGAACCAGGAGAATGTTGTACGTAGTAACAGCCATGCTGTGCGATGACTAACATTGATAGACTTAGCCCTTCTCATCAATACAAGGATTTAAGACAGCTCCAAAGGTATCATGATGGAAAATGCTCTCCACAGCCAAAGAAAGAACTATAGAGTTTGAATGCAGATCAAAGCATACTATTTGCTATTTTTATCTTCTGTTTTGTTTTGTTTCCTCTTTCTTGTGGTTCCTTCTATTGTCCTAATTCTTCCTTATACTATGACTAATGTGAAAATATGTTTAATAGGAATGTTTATGTATAGCCTATATCTGATTGTGTGCAGTCTTGGGAGGGAGGGAGAAAAATTTAAAACTCAAAAGCTTATGGAAATGATTGTTGATAAGTCAAAACAAATTAATTAAAAAAACAAAAACAAAAGCATATTTTATTTTAGGGATGGGCTTTTTTATTGTTAAGAGTTTTTAAGGGCTTAAGCTTTGTATTTTGGTAACAGATGAGCCCAGGACCTGAAATCAGGAAGACCTGAGTTTAAATCTCACCTCAGGCACTGACAAGTAGTGTAACACTGGATGGGTTACTTAATCTTTGTCTGCCTCTGTTTCCTCAACTGTAAAATAGAGGTAATAATAGCATCTACCTCCCAGGCTCATTGTGAGGATAAAATGAGAGAATATTTGTTAAGTGCTTGGAAAATCTTAAAGACCTATATACTAGTTACTATTCACCCAGTTTTTTTTCCTATTCATCTTTGACCTGAAAAATTCAAGGATATTTTTAAAATGTGACATTTTATCCAAATCAAAGCATCCTTCTTTTGGAAACTGCTTAGCAAGATTATTCCTGGTATACCAAGTCCATCTGTCTAAGAATTTGCAAATCTCCTGCCTGTAGTGGACTCGCATGGGAAAATGTTAGGGTCCTTTTTTTTCAGGCACAAAGATATCTTTATCTTTAGAGTCCTTTTTTTTCCCATCCTGGAGATTGCTCCAAACTTCTAGTTTGATAATCTTTTTAGTGATGAATGATGAGTCTGGCCTAAAAATTCACCAACTAGGAATTTGATTTCTAGAGAGAACCCTTAGACTAGGACAAAATATTATTAATAAAATTATTCCTCGGGAAACTGAAGTGGGAGGATGGAATTGAAGCATTGAGCAGCCCAGTACCTCTCTTGAGAAGAGAGGCGGCTCTAGAGCAATGAATCTAGGGCCAAGGTCAAGGGCAGGTAAAGGATGGTGATTACTGAAGGTCACCAGCCCCTGTGGCCTCAATCTACCAGTGCCTGGCTAGCTACTGTGCTAGACATTTGTTTATTCATTCATATCCCCATATTCAGATCTTCATAGCTTTTATTTATTGGCACCAAAGTCATTGTTCCTTCTTTCCCAAGAAATTCAGTATTTTTCACATAGTTCTTTTTCTACCCCAAATAGTGCTCTTTTTTTTTTTGCTTCTAGGCAATTGGGGTTAAGTGACTTGCCCAGGGTCACACAGCTAGTAAGTGTTAAGTGTTTGGTCTGAGGCCGGATTTGAACTCAGGTCCTCCTGACTTCAGGGCCGGTGCTCTATCCACTGCCACCTAGCTGCCCCTAAATAGTGCTCTTATATATGGGGACTTCAACTTAAATATTTATGACCATTTAATTAACTTTGCTTCTCAATTTATCAATCTCTTCAACTCTATTTGTACCATCACCCTACCTCAACTTTACACACATTCATACTCTTATTCATACCCTTAATTGTTATTAGTGGGGCAGCTAGATGGCATAGTGGATAGAGTGCCAGGCCCAAAAGTCAGGAAGGCTACTTTTTGTCAGTTCAAATCTAGCTTCAGACACTGGCTATGTGACCCTGGACAAGTCACTTAACCCTATTTGCCTCAGTTTCCTCATCTATCAAATAAGCTGGAGAAGGAAATGGCAAACCACTCCGGTATCTTTGCCAAGAAAACCCAAATGGGTCACAAAGAGTCAGACATGACTGAACAACTGAGCAAAAATAGATGCAAATGGTTTTCTGACCTCTCGTTGCTTACTTGGCTACACTATTTTGGGACTTCACTGACTTTTTTTTGTCATGCCTCGGGAAGCTCATTATTGAGTAAATCTCTTCACCCTGCAAGATGCCATCAGCCTTACAACTCTACCTCATCACCACCTTTAGTTCCTCTGATTGGTGGAACCATCCAGATTTAGGATCTAGGGAGGAAGCTTAGCTCAGATCTCATTTTTCACTTGGCTTTACTACTTAAGGATTTTTTTGACTTTTCCAGCAAGCCGTACCGTTGTGTACCTCCCACCCGCCCCGCCCCGCCTCCCGCCACACACACACACACACACACACACACACACACACACACACACACACCCCTTCCCACCCCTTATAACTTTTCACGTTCATTTTGTGTGTTTTCTTCCACCATTATACAGTAAGCACCTTGAGGGTAGGGACTGCTTCTTTTTTTCATTTTTAGATCCTCCCTGCTAAGTGCAGTCACCATCAGATTCAAGGTATGAACCTAAGTCCTCTGACCCCAGAGCCCCTTCTCTTTCCACTGCCTCTGTACTGTAAAAGACCTAGCGACTAGGTTTTGTCGTGACATCCTATTTGGAGTCCTGGACCCAAAGTCGCCAGATTTGGATTCTACAGTATAGTAGACTCAGGTAAAGCGTAGGCTGGAAACGAAGCGAATGATGCAATCACACACCCCGGGATCCAGCCCCGCACTGCGATTGGCCCTGACGTGACTCTCCGGCCTCGGATTGGCTAACTCAGCGTTGACTGGGGACGGAGCTTGGTAGAGCTCGGGATTGACACGTGGGCCTGGGCAGTGTTTCTCTTTTGTAGATTTTTCCGATTGTGGGTAACTGGGAGGAGACGGGGATAGAGACCTGGGAAGGGTGGGATGCTCCTGAGAAGGTGGCTGCAATTAGGCGGGGAACGTGTGCAATCGGGAGGGGGAAGTGGGCCTGCTTCCAACAAGAAAGCTTTTCCTTCCCCATCACCCCCACTCCGCCCCACTCCCATTATCTTCTGTAACGGGAGATGCCACTTCCCTCTTTCACGTCTGTCTTTCTTTTTCTGCCCCACGGTTTGATTGTTCCCGTGAAGAAACGGACGCCGCCTTTCTTCCCTTGGGTAAATATTCCTCTAAGGATCAAATTTGGGGGACCTCACTTTTCCAAAGAAGAGGGGGAGGCGGGGGGAAAGGGACCATGAAGAGATGGAGCATCAGGTGGGTAGCCTAGTGGTAAAGGAGGGCACTGGGCCGATCCATCCGTGGGCTGGGCATAGGAATGGGTAGGTAGGAGGAGTTGGCTCTGGCCTGTAGCTGGGCTTTCTTTCCCTGTGCTTTTCAACTTAATCCAGCCACGTCTGTGTAGAGGCAGCTTCTTCCTCTGTATCGAGTTCCAGCTGTTTTCGTTCTCCTGGCTGAGCTGAGCCTCTGGGACCATGAGTGTGGGCTTCATTGGAGCTGGCCAACTGGCATTTGCCCTGGCGAAAGGGTTCACATCAGCAGGTAGGAACTGGGGGTCTATAGGATAGACTGGCAGTGCTTAGTTGCTTTTGATGCTTTGTTCTGAGTCCCTACCCCTAAGTACCTACTAGTGCCTTCCCTTCTCCCTACCTTGTATTTAACTACTTTGTGTGTGTATTTATTAACTTTTTCTATTTATGCTGTATATATTTTCGTATGTACTCACCTATTAGAATGCACACTCTTTTCCTTTTTTTTTTTGTTTTCATTTTATTTGGACCCCAAACAGTGCCAGGCGCATAGTAGATACTTCATAAATACTCGTTAACTGATAAGTTGAGGGGCAGGGAGGAGTTTTCTTATTAGAAACTCAGTATTTGAAAAGAGAGGGGGGGGGAGAGAGAGAGAGAAGAGAGAGAGAGAGACAGAGAGACAGAGACAGAGACAGAGACAGAGACAGAGACAGAGACAGAGAGACAGAGACAGAAGATCTGGGCCACAAGTCAAGATAGGGAAATATATATGTATATATATATATATATGTATATATACCTATATCTGTATATGTATCTATATACGTATATATGTAGATATTTTTACAGATATAGATATCTAGACATTTATATATTTAGATAGATATAGCTATACATAGATAGATTAGATATAGATAGATTTTTCCCCAATCTGGACCTGTGATTTCAAGTCCAGTGAAATACAACCTGGATAGAAACTCACTCCACCAGAAGCTGATCTGTAAGCTCAGTAGTCTTAGAAAGTTGCCTGTTGGGAAAGCTAGTTAGTCGGATAGAACACCAGCCCTGGAGTCAGAAGGACCTTAGTTCAAATTTGGCCTCAGACGCTAGCTGTCTGAAGCTGGGTAAGTCATTTAACTCCAATTGCCTGGGGAAAAAAAAAGTTGCCTGTGTCACTGTGAGGTAAAGTGATTTACCTATAGCTCATATGTATTAGGCAGAAGAAGGACCTGAACTCAGATTTCTCTTTGCTTCAAAACTGGTCCTCTATCCTCTTCATCAAGCATCCTCTGGTTCTAAGGGGAATCGATTCTTGTTCAGTATTTGAACTTGAATTTAAAGTAGGGCTCAACTCTGATTTTTCCAGATGCTGTAAAAGCTTCCAGGTGAGAAGTGACATTTTTACCAGTGAATAGAGATTCTCATAGCTTAGTTTTATTGTTTAATGAAGGGTTCAAGATAAGGGATGGGAAGCAGAGGTTCCTGGTGGAACCCTGGAGGCTCTGGGGGAGCATTGGCCTTGAATTGAAACAACCTTGCTTCCCTCACTAGGCATCGTGGCCTCCCACAAGATAATGGCCAGCTCACCAGATATGGACCTGCCTACAGTCTCTGCACTCAGAGTAAGTAGAAGGAGTGGAATATAGGTGGGAGGAGGAAAGAATGCTGGGGTCTATGGAGTGGAGTTTTGGCTTCCCAAACCAAAATGAACCCATTGGATGATAGGCCAGGCCTGTGTCTTTGTATTTGTGGGTGGTTCTGGCCTACCTTCTCAGACCTGGAGCAGAGACCAAAGGAGAGAACTACCCCTTCCCTGCCACAGAGTCTTTATACTATTGGCTTCCCACCCAGGCCAGTCTGACCTGTGAGGATATCTCATTGTGAGTGTATTTGAAAACTACCCTTCTTTTTACCTAAGAACTGGAAATCAAAGATTCTTCTTCCACCCCTTGTAACTGCCCTCCCCTTTTCCAGATTGTTATTAAAGTTTGTGAGAGGTTAGCTGGGGGTTCAGTTGGTGAGATATTAGGTACCTATATCTAAGGCAGAGGTTCCCAAACTTATTTGGCCTACTGCTCCCTTTAAAAAAAAATGTACTCAGCACCCTCCTGGAAGTCTACTTCTTTAACCCATTACAGTTTTTTTTAAATTTACATCATTTCAAAAATATATAATTTTTTTAAATGATGCATCTTAAATTTAATAATTTGATGTAAATTTGAGGGGTTTTTCCTGCATTGAAATTTTGATGATGAAATATTGCATCATGTAATGATATAGTATCGTACTGTAAACAAGTCATTACATGCACATATTCCTGCTAATGCATTCCTGATAATTTGGGACACCTTCGCCTACCAACACTTGCTTGTTAGGACCTGTTGGCAGACTTGACCACTGATAGGTTATAATTTGCATTTTGTGTGTTTATTTGGAAAATAATGTAATCATTATGACTTTAACTGTTACACAACAGATGAAACATGTATGAATGGTTTTTTAATTTTATTTTTAGTTTTCAACATTCATTTTTATAAGATTTTGAGTTTTAATTTTTCCCCCTCTCTCCATTCCCCTCTCTCCAAGACAGCATGCAATCTGATGTAGGCTATACATGTATAATCATATTAAACATATTTCCACATTAGTCATGTTGTAAAAGATGAATAACAGCAAAATGGAAAAACCACTAGAAAGAAAAAAAAGAGAGAGAGAGAAAATAGTATGCATCTGCATTCAGACTCCATAGTTCTTTCTCTGGATGTGGCTAGCATTTGCCATCATGAGTCTTTTGGAATTGGCTTAGATCATCGCATTGCTCAGAAGAGCTAAGTCTAACAAAGTCAGTGATCTCACTGTGTGCAATGTTCTCCTGGTTCTGCTCACTTCACTCAGCATCAGTTCATATAAGTCTTTCCAGGTTTTTCTGAAATTTACCTGCTCACCATTTCTTATGGAACAATAGTATTCCATTACATGTACAAACCTTTTTTCAAAATTTTCTTATCTTAGGGAGGGTGGTGGGGAGGAAGGGGGAGAAAATTTTAAACTCAGAAGCATATGGAAGTGATTGTTGATAAATCAAAATAAATTAATAAAATTTTAAAAAACACACAAAAAACCCCAAAATTTTCTTATCCTCTTTCCTTATACTTCCACCACCCCCTTATTTTTATTCAACATCCCTCAGTTGCACCCGAGGCCACTACCTACCTCCTGGATCATTCCAACGCCCCCCAAGGGGCAGTATCAGCCACTTTGGAAACCTGTGATTAAGGGATGGCACTGAGGATATGGTTAGTGTCTTTAACACTGGAGTTGTGAAGACTGATTGCTCCATTAGGAATCCACGGGCAAACCACAAACCTACATCCTGAAGGCAGTATGTTTTGGTGAACAAGGTGCCTGGGGGAAGCAGGAGGCACAGTGGGGGAAAGTGCTCCCTACTGTGCCACACAGTAGCTGAGACGTGTACTCTGTTCCTGTGATGCCAAGTTCAGAACCCTTTCCTATTTCACCTCAGCGTTTTTCAACTTGTTGCCTAGCTTTTTGCCTCTATCCCAATGCATTTGAATCAGTGTGATGGAGGTAAAAAAGCATTTGCTGGGGAGTCAGAAGACCTGGGCTTTAGTGCCAGAATACATTTACCGCATGCCCTTGGACAAGTCTTTCAATCTTTCTGAGCCTCAGTTTTCTTATCTGAAAAATGGGGATAAAAATACTTTTACCACCTGCCTAACAGGACTATTGTGAAAAAAGGGCTTCCTTCCAATACTGTACTATCATAGGCTATTTTCTGGCATCTGGCCTGAGACTGTGTACATAAATGTTTAATAAATGTTTACTGACTTACGTTGGGTAAAGTCTTTATGAATTGGGGTTGAGGGTTACCCCCTTTTGCCCCAGAACTCAAGCTATTCATCTGCCTAATAACTGTAGCAACAACAACCTTTGTAGAATCTAAGGGTTTTTTGAAGTGATACAACTTTAAATGAAAATCTTAGGGAGAGCTGCAACGGTGACTGGTTTATAGCTGTGAGCAAGGGTCTGGCTGATAATCCAGTTATTCCCCAAGGAAGCTCTGAAGCCTAACAACCTAGTCCGCACTGTTCTTAACCATGACCTCCCTATCAATTTCTGCAGAAAATTGGCATAAACCTGACCCCCCGCAACAAGGAAACGGTGCAACACAGTGATGTACTTTTCTTGGCTGTGAAGCCTCATATCATTCCATTCATCCTGGATGAGATTGGAGCTGATATTGAGGACAGGCACATTGTGGTCTCCTGTGCAGCTGGTGTCACAATTAGCTCCATTGAGAAGGTAGCACTCACTTCAGCATTGCCCTCCAAGGTGGGAGGTGGATGTTTCCAGGTGCTGGTGGGCTTTGGGACTGATGGAGAAAATAGCTTAGTGACAAAGGGAGAAGAGGAACAGGGTAGATGGTGCTGAAGGATTGCTTGGAAGCTTAATCTACTTTCTTTCCCCAGAAACTGACAGCCTTCCAGCCAGCCCCTAAAGTCATCCGTTGCATGACCAATACCCCTGTGATAGTACGGGAGGGTGCCACAGTTTATGCTACAGGAACCCATGCCCAGGTGGAGGATGGGAAGCTTTTGGAACAGCTAATGAGCAGTGTGGGTTTCTGCACCGAGGTGGAAGAGGACCTTATTGATGCTGTCACTGGCCTCAGCGGTAGCGGGCCTGCCTATGTGAGATTTATGGTGTGGGGGTGGTTATAGAATGAAAGGGTTAGACAAGTGTCTGATCTGTGGACAGAGCTAATGGAGGGAGGGTGAAGTTACTCAGGTTATCTCCTTTAGTCTGAGAGGGGGGTACCAAGGGCTTTTTCCCTTTGAAAGGATTGCCAGGGCCCCTTTTTCTTTCCCCAAGGCTCAAGAATTATCTCCCCTACAGGCATTCACAGCTTTGGATGCATTGGCAGACGGTGGGGTAAAGATGGGGCTACCTCGGCGGTTGGCACTCCATCTGGGAGCCCAGGCTTTACTGGTTTGTATCTTTCTGACCCTTGGACTGTATCAAAAAGAAGCTCTCTCACTCAGATTTGGGGCTAGAACTTCAGGCTCTGTTTAGGGGCTAGTAGAAAGGTGGGGTAGGGGCAACTCCATTCTCTGAAGGGCTTCTTCACAGGAATCTAATGGATTCAGGAAAGGGAGGACTCTCTCACAGCAAATCACTATGTTCCTTCCTCTAATCCATCTTCCTTCTACTGCAGGGAGCTGCCAAGATGCTTTTGGAATCTGAAGAGCACCCAGGACAGCTCAAGGACAATGTCTGCTCCCCTGGGGGAGCCACTATCCATGCCTTGCACTTCTTAGAGAGTGGTGGCTTCCGCTCCCTCCTCATCAATGCCGTAGAGGCTTCCTGCATCCGTACCCGGTGAGCTCCCTCTTCTTCTTTCCTCTCCATTTTCTTCAAGCAAGTCTCTGGTCCCAACCTACCCTCCAGGAGCTTAGTCAGTAACAATCCAGATGAGACAAATGTTGCAGGAAGGAAAAATAATACATCACTCATCATTTATTTGAATAGTATGTCACAGGTCTGGTGTTCCTTGTCCTACTTTGCTACTACTCCCCTACAAACTTTTTGGTTTTGGGTTTGTTTGGTTTTTTTTTTTGGGGGGGGCAATTGGGTTTAAGTGACTTGCCCAGGATCACACAACTACTAAGTATCAAGTGTTTTGTCTGAGGCCGAATTTGAACTCAGGTCCTCCTGAGTTCAGGGCTAGTGGTCTGTCCACTGTGGCACCTAGCTGCCCCCCCCCCACAAACTTTTGGTAATTTTTTGGGGGGAGTAATTTTCCATGGATCAATGATTCTTAACCTGGGGTGGACAGATAGATTTCAGGTAATCTGTCATTTTTTAAAAAATTAAATAACTATGTCTACATAATTGTTCTCCTTTGTAATCCTATTATTTTATTTTATACATTTAAAAATATTCTGAGGGGCAGCTAGGTGGTACAGTGGATAGAACACGGCCTTGGAGTCAGGAAGACCTGAGTTCAAATTTGTCCTCAAACACTTGATACTTACTAGCTGTGTGACCCTGGGCAAGGCATTTAACCCCATTGCCTAGCCAAAAAAAAAACTATATCTATATCTATATTCTAAAAAGGGATCCACAGGCTTCACCAGACTGCCAGAGGGGTTCATGACATGGAAAGGGTTAAGAACCTCTGCTTTTGGTCATCTAGGCAAGGTGGTACAGTTGAGAGAATACTGGATTTGGAGTTAAAAGATCTTCATTCAAATCCTAATCCCAAAGTGAATTAACTGCATGACCTTAAGTCACTTAAGCTAACTGAACCCCTACCTGAAACATGAATTCCTTCTACCACAGCCCCAACAAATAGATATACAATCTCTGCTTGAACATCTATACCTAACTGTCAAAAAGCTCCTATTTATATGGTTCAGAGATCTTTCTGCTTCTAACCTCCACCCTATTAATTTAAATTGTCCCTTCTGGAGCTTTGCAAAATAATTCAAATTTATCTTGCACAAAAAAGGGGGCGGGGAAGAAATTTACATGATAATTGAACTTTTAAAGCACTAGCAAGTGGTACATGATAGATTTGCAGTTTCTTGTGCAATCAATTTTTTATTATACTATGTTATGGAAATGCTTGTTTTAATCACATAAATTTTGTTGTTTTTTTTATTTTAATTTTATTATTTTTTTTAGGCAGTTGGGGTTAAGTGACTTGCCCAGGGTCACACAGTTAGTAAGTGTCAAGTCTTTGGTCCGAGACTGGATTTGAACTCAGGTCATCCTGACTCCAGGGCCAGTGCTCAATCACATAAATTTTGAAAAAACAAAACAAAACAAAAAAACAAGATAGTTCTTTGAATACTTGAAGACAGCAATCATATCCTCCCTAACGGAACATCCCCCATTCCTTCAGTGGTTACTCCTAGGACAGAATTTTGAGTCACCCTCATCTCCTGGTTGCTCTCCTGGATGTATGCTCTCTTTAGTTCAGCCAGACTCTGGTTTGGAGGTAGGGCTCCAATGGGCAGGCTCCATGAGGCTGTGGGCTCCTCACCCTCTCACCAATCGAAATCCCAGATCCAGAATTGTCTTTTCTTTCTAACCCTTTCCTTCCAACCCTTTTTGATATGTATTTGGCAGAGAGCTTCAGTCAATGGCCGACAAAGAGAAGATCTCTCCAGCTGCCATCAAGAAAACTCTGCTGGATAAAGTGAAGCTGGACTCCTCTACTATGACCACAAAGTCATCCTCCAGTCTCATCAAGCTGCTGGCTCAAAGCCAGGTCTCTGGAAGCCAGAAAGACTGAGGCATGCCCTCTCTCTCTTCTCTCTGATCTCTGCTTCTAGAAACATAGGGAGAAAGCATCTCCATATAGCTGTAATAGCTCTTGATTGAGTATCAGGAAGCCCATGTCTTGTGGTCCACAAATGTGGACATAGTAGGACTCTCCTACAGAGGTCAGCATGGGGACTTTCCCCCACCAACTAGAAAGGTCAAGCTTGCCCCTCTTTCTCTTAAAATTCAGACTTTTAGCTTCTGAAGCCTTTAATGCAGAAGAGAATATTTCAGTCATTCAGCCCTTTTCTTTCCCTTCTGTCATAGAAACAACCTCTGCCCTTCCTCTCTCAGGGAGTTGGCCATCCCTGGAGAAGGTGCCAAGAGTGCTGAACCCAACACTGGTAGCTGAATTGGGCATGTAGCTGGAGTCTTGCCCTAAGTCATGACCCCTGACTCAGAGGAAAGCCAAACAATCCATCTCTCCTTCCTCTCCACCCCTCTGCTTCTTTTTTTTAAAAATTATTTTATTTGGAATTTAAGAAATAAAATAAGCATTTCCATAATAGTAGAATAGGAAAAAAACCCCCATGAAACTGCAAATCTATTATGTACAACTTGCTCTTCCTTTTAAATATATAATAAAATTATCGCATAACTTTTTTTTTCCTTTTTGTTCTTCTCCCTGCCCTAGAGATGGCTACCATTAGACACAAATATGTATACATATATAAAACCATTTTATACATATTTATATTTATCACTTCTTTATCTGGATGCAGATAGAATCTTCCTTCATATATCCTTTGTAGTTAATCTGGGTATTTATAATAGTCGAAATGACTTGGTCTCTCAAAGATGTTCTTAAAACAATATCACTGTTACTGTATACAACGTTCTTTTGGTTATGCTCTTCGTTATTTCATGCAAGTCTTTCCGTGTTTTTCTAAGATCATCAAGCTCATCATTTCTTATAGTACAGTACTATCATGTACCACAACTTTCTTTTCATAATTTTCTTGGATTGCTTTTATTTTTTTCCCAATTTTTCCTTGATCTCTCTTATTTGATTTTTGATTTCATTTTTAAGTTCTTCCAAGTACTCTTTTTCAATATTACACTTTGGGGCAGAAGTGGCTTTTTTACCTCATTTCTTTCTTTTTCAAGAAAAAATTTTATTGATGTTTTTTTATTTTACCCTTCAGTCATCTGACACCATATGCAGTATTTCAAACCTGTAGTCCTCTGCCTTTCCAATTTAAGGAGGAAATCATCTATTTCCTCATTATTTCCTCATCTATTATCTGATATGTGTACCCCCACATCTCAGAAAAACATACCCTCTTTTGAGCTCCAGGTTTTTAAATATATACCTTCTAATTTGTCATTTGCAACTGTCTATGCCTAGTTTAGCTTTTTGTTCCTACTTTTGTAGTAATGTTTCTCTATTGCAATCCTTTATGCAAAGTAAACCCTTTGCTTTTTCAATTTAGCTAAATTTGACAAGCAACTACTATATGCTGGTAAGTGCTGGGGTTATAATAATAGTAATAACAAATACCTAACATTTATATAGTACTATGTGCTAAGTACTTTACAGTCATCTCATTTGATTCTCACAACAACTCCAGGGGATAGGTGCTATGAAAAAATAGAACTTTCCCTGCCCTGAAAGAGTTTACATTCTATTAGGGGAATACAACATGTACATAGAAAATTAAATTAAAAACATACGCAAAATAATTTCCAAGAGAAGCATAGGTCTAATATGAAGGGCAGTTTATTAACAATAGAATAAGGATTCTTAAGGGCACAATACAAAGGCAGAGAAGATGTTCCATAGGCACATTAAAAGGGTGGGGCTGTTATCGATGGGTTTGAGAGACTAGTAGATACGGAAGTTGGCTTTGATCTAGGCAGCCTAGAGAAATTTAGTGGGCATAGGGCATTGTCAGGCCCTTCATAGTGGCAGTGGCAATATTTATTTGGAGAGAGAATGAGAGGAGTGGCAGATAAAGAATCCTTGGTGCTACCTGTTAAGGTGAAGACAGAGGTTGGTGGAATCTTAATACCTGGCTGGTCCTAGAGGGCTGAGGTATGTTAGCCAGGTCAGTCAGCTCTGCCCCAGGGCTCACTTCAATGTTGAGAAATTATTTCTCCTAGGGTAGAGAAGGGTCTTTGGTACTGTACTAATCCTCTGTATCATCTTTTTTCTTTCTTCTTTTCTTTTCTTTTCTTTTCTTTTCTTTTCTTTTCTTTTCTTTTCTTTTCTTTTCTTTTCTTTTCTTTTCTTTCTTTCTTTCTTTAATTGGGCTGGTGCCTAGCTGTAAACTCAAAGTTTCCATGCTACCAGCCTGTTTCTCTTGATCAGACCTAGAGTAGAATGGCACACTCTTGAAAGTGAATCTTGTATGATTTCCCCTGGGAAATTAGTCTGGTTAAGCTGTGCATTTGCTAGTTAGTCATCCAAGCTAGACTGCTCCAAAACATGTGTCTGTGTGATAACCTGTAGTTTTCAAAAGGGAAGGAGGCAGCAGTTATTTGAGCTCTCAAAAATGCTATCTGGTAGCCTCATACAATGGGTGTGTGCCTAGCCTGCTATGACAAGGTCACAACTTAGGCTCCACAACTGTCCAGAGAGAGAGTGGGACAAGTCAAGGAGCAATGTGGTGATTGGCAGGATCATCTGGGCTAAGAAGGGATTGAATGGGATTCCTGGGAAGGACAAAAATCTTCTAGGGCTTGAGAAAATGGCAGCTTAAATTGTTGGTAATCCTTTTGTCAGTGGGGAAGGATCTCCCCTGGTCTCTATTCTCCCATTGATATAATAGAAATAGAGACTCAATTCCCTTTGGAGGGTATCCACAATGAAGATGTGGTTAACCATGAATTTAGAATTCCCTGAATTCTGAGTCCTCCATTCAACATTGGGAATGAAGGGAAGTTGTGAATAGAGAAGACCTTAGTCCCTATCCTGCAGAGTTTGCCTTCATACAAGGGAACTTCAACATACAGAGTATTACTCTTCATTTCCAAATTCCTCAATATGACCTACTCCTCTACTTCATCTCAACTTAACCGTGGGATAGCCATAACTTCGATTTTATTATCACCCACAAGTCTTTCTTTATTTGATCATAATCCATTAACAATCTATCTCTCTCTCTGTCTTGTTCCCCTAACAATAATCTTCATTCTTATCATGAGCTCCAATCTCTCTACCACTCAGTACTTTCCCAGGCCATCACCTCTGCTCTGGCTACACTCTACTTCCTTTCCCTTCTCTACCAATTAGTGATATGGTTTAATTCGACACTCTCTATTCTTAAATCCCTAATCCATTTGTCCTATTACCATTCATCCCTTCCCAAACTCAAACCCTGCGTTACTCCCACAGTCTTCCTTTGCTCCAATTATATGCTGCTGAATGGAACTGAAGGAAGTCATAAAGCCATAATGAAAAGGCTCACTACAAGTTTATGATATATAATTTCAACTGAGCCTTCACAGAAGCAAAGCAAATCCACCCCTACCTAAGCATCTTTGTCCCACTTACCATAGCAGCTGTTCCAAAGCTAACTCATTTTTTCTAGCACAAAAAAAAATTATCCAAGGCAATAGCAAAACAGAAATCAGAAAAAGTTTACATGGGAGAATATGTACCAGAATACAAAATGAAGGGGCTTTACCATTGGTAGTGAGGTAACTCAGCTCAACCAAAAGAAAGAGTCCTAGATCTCATCTAAGGGGAAATTCCCTAAAATTTCCCATGTAACAAACTGAGAATAGGAACAGGACAGAGACTGCCAACTTTTCTCACGTTGGCTTCTTCCCACTATTCTCCTTCAACAACCTGAATTGAGGCTACCATCTTCCATCTTCCCTTTCAAAGCTGGAAGTCAGAATAGCCCAAAACTACTGTAGAGGTCAAACAGATTCAAGAGCTCCAAGAAACTGAACAGACTGGAACTTTCTTCTCTCCCTCCCCTCTTAAACAGAGGCATCTACAGTGGATCGAGCACCAGCCCTGAAGTCAGGAGGACCTGAGTTCAAATCTGGCCTCAGACCAAACCCTTGACACTTACTAGATGTGTGACTCTAGGCAAGTCACTTAACCCCAATTGCTTAAAATAAAAATCACTTCAACAGCTATGTAGAGGTTGGATTTAAGTGGGGAAAGACTTGAAACTGGGAGATCAATTGGGAGACCATTACCAATAGTCCAAGCATGAAATGATGAGGAAGGGCCTGAACTATGTGGCAGCTGAGTGAATTGTGAGAAGGGGATCTATGCAAGAAATATTGTAGAAGCTGCAATAGCAAGATCTGGCAGCTGACTAGAGACGTAGAGTCATTGAGAGGAAGGACTTTAGGGGAATGCCAATGTTGTGAATGTGGAAGACTGGAAGAATAATACTGCCCTTGACAGAAAAAGGAAAGCTTGGTAGAGGGCAAGTCACTTAAACTCTCCAGGTCTGTTTCCTCATCTCTAGAATGCAGTTTCTAGATGACGTGCAAGATCTCTCCAAGTTCTAACCAATGATTCTAAGCTCTGTTTTAGAATGATTGAGTTTGAGCCCTCTCCAGGACATTTCCAGTGGGTAGTTGGTGAAGTGTGGCTGGCACTCAGCAAGAGACTGGAGCTGAATATATAGACTGGCAAGTTAACAAAACAGAGCTTATAATTAAGCTGATTGGTAACTTTGAAGAGAGTAGTTTTAGTAACCCAGGTACTGAACTTCTTGAGAAAAGGAGACTGACCTGGTGGCCAATAGACAATAGCCACCATGATCTGAATTGGGTGAGAAATGTATAAATAAACTTCAAAAGAGATTGCTGTGTGATGGAGGCAAAAGGAGAATGTGGAAGTGGCAGTGGGTACATCAGTAGGAATATAGCAGATGTTCCATAAATTATGCTACTCATAAATCTCAGAATCTCAGAGTTAGAAGGGGCTTCAGAGATCGTTTGGTCCAACACATACCTGAAAAAGGATCTCCTCTATAACTATCTGACAAGTGGTCATCTATCCTCAGACTTCCAGTGAAGAGGAATTCATCTTCTAAAGTGGCCCATTCTACTTTTGGGTAGCTCCCATGGTTAAGACATTATTCCTCATATCAAGCCAAAATCTACATCTTTGTTAACTCCTACTCATTGCTCCTCTTGGGCAAATTAGAACCAGTCTAATTTTTCCTCCATTGGATAGCCCCTGAAATACTTGAAAGCAGTTATCATGTTCACCTGTGGTAGTAGCAATATTTCAACCCCTGACCCTATGGAGGTTAGGTTAGTGTTCCCTTAATGGTATCAAAATATTCTGCAAGACTTGGTTGGCTCAGTCAACTAAAAGCTCAAACTCCGAAGGTCACTTTTTCATCATCTGAGTACAAAGCAGCCATGAGGAGCTCCATGGGTGCTCTGATGCTTGGGTTCATGCATCACAATGGGTAACTCAGGCAAAAAAATATTTTTTTCCTTTCCTTTGCTCAGCTTAATCACTTCAAGGTGGCCTCAATGACTATCCTTTTTAAATATCCCTCTCCTGCTATA